CTTTTTGTCTTGATGCACACTGTATCTGAGGTGAAACTTTCCCCAAAAATCCACCACATGTTGCCATGGTTACATAAATGCTCCACCCTCCCGTATGTCGCTTCCATGGTTCCCTACTGAAAGTGCCCATGATGCACGGTGCTACGCCCACCACTGTGTCTGCAGCAACAACACCTGCCACCAGCGTCCCCTTCGCTGCAACAGCTACGGCCAATCAGGTTTGCCCTTTCAATAGCTTTCTTTCACGTGTGCAGAGCTAGACGAACGGTACGCCGGCCGGATCCTGCGGGGCGCAGAGCACCTTGCGCCAGGTCCCGAGCTGCTCTGCCTCCCTCCGTCTTCTCGAGGGGCGGAGGGTGCTCGGCGTCTCCCGCAAGGCACTCCACCCTGCCCAGGATCGGGCCGCTAGCAAGGCAGCATGTATACTTTTGGGATTGGTGAGGGGGCATCGGCTCGTTGCGCCGGGCGGCGCTTGAGTCACCCGGGGATGGGTGATCCGGAGTTCGAGGTCACGTCCAGCGAAGGGCATCTGGCTTCTCCGAGCCTCCAGAGTCTTGCAAAACGGGGCTGCAAAACTCGCACGGAAAGACGTACCAGATTGGTGGCCGTTCTGCTTTCCGTCCCAGCCAGAAATACCATGCTTTCCCACGGTATTTTGGCACGTCCTGGAAAGCGGAAGGGAAAAACTAAGACTGGATCCTAACATAAAGCGGGGCAGAGTTCAGGCTTCTTTGAACCAGGAGCGCATCATCCATCCCTCCGGTACTCAGTGCCTATAGTTCATATAGACAATGCGGCATATACAATCTGTGTGCTGTTTCGCCAGTGCCATGAATTTAAAGGATTTCATGCATGTTTGCCTAGGTACGATCCTGTCCAAAACATTGCTCGCAAGGTATTAAACCATGATTGCTGATTCCACACCAGTCCTGAACTGTATACGCACAATCTTTATTCTAGGAATGCTTCCTGATATTTCATAAACCACAAACTTCTTTGTATTAGGCCAGAGTAGAGATTCGGGCAATGTTGTGGGGGGGTTTTCCAATTATAATGTCAGCATTTTTATTTAGTGCCTCACTGGGCTCGAGTTCAGAGCCACCCCCAGGAAAAGCGGGTATCACTTTACTCCACCACCCACCGATTGCCATACAGTACCCTGATCATTTCAGAGGGCGAGTCCTGGAGTCTTCTCCCTTCAGGCGGAGACACGGTTTTAAGGGAAGCAATGGGAATTTTGCCTAAAGAAGGACTGGGATCAAATTGGCCTGTTGCAAATGCTTTGCTACCTGCAGTTGGTATTGCTGTGCTTGTTCTCAGCCTTTTTTGTAGTTTCAGGTGCAACGGGCCTGCTAATAATGGACCGGTCACCTCACTCCGGGGCTGCATTACTGTATGGCTACGCGTGGCTTGCAAAAGGGATACCCCTTCTTCCCAACTGGCAATTTACAGGGCATTTCTCTGCCTTACAGTCTATGGAGTTGGACTCCCAAGTACAATCACCATGTACACCACCAGGCATCAATAACGATGTGACTGCATTGCTATTTATGCCTGTAAAATGAGAGAGATCCTGGGAATGGTCCGCGCCCTCTAAAATCCTGCTTTCCCAGGGATTATGTGCATTGACTAACCTTAAACAAGCGCTGAGGGGAGAATGACTGGAATGTTCTCAGGGAAACATTTTAATGGGATCTGTTTTCTTTGCCATAGATATCCCAGTTATCAGTAGATGAACTGAGCAGCAGCATGTTTGTCTCACAGATGTAGAAGTTTCCAATAGAACAGTAAGTTTTTTTTCCATTTTGATATCTGCTGTTGATGTCTTTGTAGGAAGGCACTTTGTCTTCTCAGTGGGCAGCTTCGACCTACTCGTTCACCGGCCGAGGGGCAGGGGGAAGGTCTGCGCCTAGCGTTTATGGTAAACAGTTGTTTGTGCATCATCTAAAATGCCTGCTTTCCAGCGTGAAACCCCCACGGTCCCCACTGCCGCTTTTGTACTGGACCATTCCCAACGACCTAGCAAATTCCAGAGTATGGCCCCAAAATTGTGCTGTGGGGTCTGTGCTGCTCAAGAGAGAGTATTTTGCCAACAGGAGCCAGATAAAAAGTCTAAGTAAGTTTTAGGTTGCTGCTAGGAGCATAATTCCTTTACTTGGGTAAACAGGCCCATGCATCATCAGGTGCTGTCAGCCAGCCTTGCTCTCCTGGTTTCAGTGCAGCTGGGCAAATTTACCCCAGCTCAGGACTTGGCCAGTCTTGGGGATATGTAAAACTTCTTGTTCGCTATAAAGTTTGGCCTGAAAGCTGCGGGCAATAGTGAAGGACACTGGCGTTTGTCTGGATTTGCATGATATAGCTTCACAGTTGGAGCTCTTGTTCTCACTTTCTGCGTCTTGTATGTATTGGCACATATTTATGAGAGAAAATCCCAATGGGTTTTCAGTTCTTCACTGTGCTTATAACACCAAGAGACTTAAAGTACAGCTCAGTTAATTAAAAAGGAAGGGGGTCAACAGACTGGGCTGATGGAAGTTATTTCATGTGCCGATACGTGATTCCTTTTTTTATTATTATTTTGCTGAGGTCAAATATGAAAGGAAATGCTTCTGTCTAAGCGCTAGAAATGAATTTGGAAACCCGTTCTTAAAGAGCTGGCGTGAACTCATGCCCCTTATTTCTGCTGATTTAAGTAATAGATGTGGATGGCTCGCTAATCAGGTCTGCACATCCCTGTTAGCGCCTGCCTTGTGGCCACGATCGCTGCCTTAGTGACGATGTTGCATGTTGCAGTTTTGAAACACCCGACACAGTCACGTGTGCAATATGGCAGGTCCCACCTGGTGCGAGTTCAGTTGCATTGAGGGAGAACTGTACCTCCTCCTCAAAAATCCTTGGCATTAATTTTAATGTTCTTTTTTTTTTTCAGTATGCCTTTTTTTTTTTTTAAATTTGCTTCCTTTTGCTGGGAAATTTGTTCCCAGACTTGTGCCATCAGTACTGAGCAGTACTGAGCGCAGGCCTCGCTTCAGGGAAAGGCTGAAGCAGGTTCTTGATCCATCCTTACTCAGGAAAGCTCTCCCTGCATCTCGCAGCTTGAGGGGAGCCTCCTGGTCTGCTCGGAAAGCATAACTAAACAAAAGGCATCAAAACTCATGGAAGAGGCGATATCTTTTATTAGACCAACTAGATATTTGCAAACAAATACAAGAGTTTGTTTGCAAATGTGTAGTGGGTCTAATAAAAGAGATCATCTCGTCCATGAATTTTGATTCCTTTTGCCTCTAGACCAATGCAGCTACAACCTGGACACCAAATAAGCAAGGCTCTCTGTCGTGAGTGTGCACCAGCAGAGAAGTGCAGGGGATCACTGAAATGCTTGCAGCTTTGTGCGTGGCTGGATAAGTAGGATTCACCAGCATTGCAAAGGATGCCCTCTGGGAAGTGACACTGCCCTGAAGTGTAGGTGGATGTGAAGGATAGTTCACCCAAGCACCCGATGCACCTAAACAGGCTTCTGCTGAGGTGGACGTATGCCCACACTCCGTGTCAGGCAGGCACCGCAAGGCTGTAGGGCCAAAGCTTTCCAGGAGGGATTTTCAAAGCAGGCCTGACTCTAATGTTGTCTCCCATCGGACTTCCCTGCATGGCTTGTGGTATGTCCCTTGTAACCAGATTTGCCAAGCATCCGCAGCGCTCATTGAATTCAGTAGGAGACTAGCGTGGCTTGCACAATGGAGCCCCCGCCCACGACTGCCTCATCTCTGAAACAAGACTCGTGTCAGCCCCCTCGCTCTTTCACAGGCTTTGGCTGCAGATCATTTTGTCAGCGTTTATGGAGCCCATTGAAAGCACAAAGCCCAAAGTATTAGCCGTTTCACTTGCAATCAGAGCATTGAGCGAACAAAACATTGTGTCTTCCCCCCACGCTGGCAGAAAGCGCGTGTGCACCGTGTCTTCGTAGCTCAGTGGAAGTTATAAAGAGAACAAAAAAGCATGACGTGTTTTTATTTCCAGTTTCTCACTCCTTGTTTTTGTTCCTCCTCCAGCCGACCACGTTGAAATTTGTGAACAGTAAAATTACGGAGTACTAGGACTTCTCAGTGGGGAACTGCACATGGCCTTTCTGTATATATCCCCTCTTCCCTCCTTTCGTCCTCTACCACCTCTACAGTAAGCCTGTTGCAGCCTACATGTTAACCAAAAACTGATCAATGGGAATGTCAGAAAAAAAAAAGAAAAAAAAAGCACTATAGAAACAATTAACAAACAGCGCTCTGTTATATGAGATATACAAGTAGAAAATTATAATAGACTTTTATAACACATTACTTTAACACATTTAATCATTTTATGACTACCATCATGATAAGTGCATCTGCACAGTGGACTGTTGGTTTACTGTATACTATCGATGGATAAATGTTTGTCTCGTTTTTAAAGTGTTATCTTACTGTTTTGTTTACATCATAGTCTATTGATTTGTTTTAAAGTGTACATCATTATCAAGTATACTCAATACCATTTTTTTCATTATTGTTATGTCTTAAGTTTTCATATACTGTAGATTTTATGGGGTTTTTTTAAACTAAAAATGTTATAGTGGGAAACAGGAATAACGTGCTTGAAAAACATGACACAAGAATGTTCGGATCTTTTCTATATTTTGGCTGCTTTTAAATCAACTGAAGTGGCTCATTTTAAACGGCTTCTTTTACAAGTGAAAATTTGCCTTTGGAAAGAGTCCCCAAAATTTTCTGTTCCAGCACTATGGAGGGATAGCTGTCGGTTTAGCTCAGATCAGGGGTCCAGTCAAGCGAGCTGATTCCAGTTTCCTGAAGAGGAAACTTTGATGGTCAGAAAAGGAAGAAAAATATGTTCAATATAGCAGTTAAGTATCAGCTACGGGGGGAGATGTACTCAGATTGTGGACAGTAAGGAAGCCTGAAGTTTTGTTGCTCAGCCAAGTGCCATCCACAGCTGCAAGTGCCGCACAATCTTCCTCCCAACTTCAGTGGTGCAGTCAAAACCCCAGGCAAACATGGGAGACAGCGGGACGAATGCGAAGTTGCATTCCCAGCCAAAAAGACCAAACACCTGAGTCACCCACAGACCCACCTCCCCCAGTCGCAGCAAACCCAGGCTGGTGACGGCAAACGTCGATTTTCTGATATGCAAATTAAAAGCCCCCGGCTCTGCCCGTGGAAGGCGAGACCACAAATGGCATCGTGCAAAACTGTACTGCAAAATCCCCGCCCCAAATTTTGTGCAGGTTTTCTGCGGCTTTCCATTGGCATGTGCTGATAACGTGTCCTTGAGGCAGGGCTGTTTCCCAAGAGCTCTAGACCATTAAAACAGACTTGCAAAGAAGAAGAAAAAAAGGAACATCCAAGCCTATCACTTCACCATGCCCAGATTTTCCAACCCCCACCCAAAAAATATATCGTTCCCTGGATCAGCAGATGACCTCTTTGCTTGATCAAGACCGACACTGGTCACACAGCAAGGGCTAATTGCCAATACCTCCGTTCCCCATTGAACTGAGCAAAATTACTGATTTTCTACCCCACCCCCCTGCACCGCATGGACAGTCATGCTGCTGAGTTGCCGACTACCTGTACTGCTAGGAAGAGGTGGTGGCTTGGCTATGGGGGGAGATGAGAGCTGAATTCATCTCTAGCACAGCTTCACCAACCTCAGTGGAGGGATACCAGAGATGGACTTGGCCTGAATCAGCTGAAACGTGGAAGCAGCAAGGACAGAGAGGAGAATGGTTAAGGGAATGCAAGGAGAAGCGAGTAGAAGGAACCAGTGATCTTTGACAGTGAGATGAGAAGAGGGAAGCCCCAGGACAGTGATAGCCTTGCTGCGACCATGCCAAGCTTAGGATGAGAGTTGTGATTTGGCTTTCTTACATGTTGGATGCTTCAGGCCAGAGCTCGGGCTTCCCCTTGGAGGACGATGGAGCCTGTCCTTATTTTGGGAGGGTAAAGGCTTGGCAGAAAGTCACCCTGGCATGCTCCACTGAGGGGAGCAGAGCTGAGAGATCCCAGGATCGGGCTTTCACCATCCTGGGTTTGCGGACTGCCCCCCTGCACTCCCCTGGCAGTCCACGAGCATTATAGGAGCTGACAGCTGCCTTGTACCCTCATCTTGACACCTGCCATCCATGTCGTGGATTTTCCCCTGCCCCATCCCTGTACCCTCGATAGACATTTGCAAACATGAACGAGAAAGGAGGCACAGTACAGGTGCATGTTAGGGACAGCTGACGTGCCTCTGTGCAGGCCACCATCTGCGTGGCCATCCACCTGGGATGTGCACAGCCTGACGGGCTCCTTATCACCCCAGGACTGTGGAGAGCCCGGTGGTCAGGTCCTGAGTCCACGGCAGCTCTCCACGTGCAGCACTGGGTTCTGGATCAGGGTTTTTCATAGAATCATCATAGAATCATAGAAGTGGGGTCAAAGAGAACTTGTAGATCTTCAAGTCCGACCCCCCACCTGGGCAGGAGAAAAAACTGGACTCAAATGATCCCAGCCAGGTAGGCATCAAGCCTCCTCTTAAAGCCCCCCAGGGTAGGAGCCAGCACCACTTCCCTTGGAAGTTGGTTCCCGCTCCTAGCCGCTCGAACTGTGAAGTCGTTCTTGCAGATGTCTAATCTAAACCTCCTCTCCAACAACTTGTGCCCATTACTCCTTGTTATGCCGGGGGGGCTGGGGAAACAAGGTCTCTCCCAAACCCTTCTGGTCCCCCCCAGTGAGTTTATAGACAGTCACCAGGTCCCCCCTCAGCCTTCGCTTGTGAAGGTTGAACAGGTTTAGGTCCCACAGTCTCTCATTTTGAGGGACAGAGGACAGTAGCCGCTAAGCTTCATGTGTTGACATTTGCTCATGTCCGTATGTATTTAAGCATTCGAAGCATACACAGTATTGCCTGAAATAAGCTACTCCTGTGTCTTTTGGCCACGGCGTACCTGTTCTTTTTAACCACCGAGTTTCTGTTTCCCAGAATCATAACATTGTTAGTGGAAAAAGTGGATTTGAGTACTTCCTGTTTGAAATTATTTGTGTATCAAAATGGGTTTTGCACAACATGTGCCAGTGCCTCAACAAAGAACAGACCTGATCTTCTGAAGCCAGGAAGGATGCGTTCAAGCTTGAATGGCTTTATGAGTTAAAGGAGGTTGGAACTTTTTCAGTGCTAAATGGATTTTTGTATATCTTGACACTTTGATGTAACCTCCTATTTTATTTAACTACTTAAACATCTGGCATAGATGTACATAGAATGTAAACCTAGAATACAGCTGTTTTCACGTCACATTTAAAGCACTGAAAAGAAAAAAAAAACATTTAAGGATTATTTTTTAGTAAAGAGGTCCAATGAGGGATGTTCAGGGTAGTTATATTAGGTGCCACAACAGTTTTTATATTGCTGGCAAATTTAGAGTTCATTTGTAAATGAGTTTAAGGAAAGAAAAGCTTGAAGCACTAAAACTTCACCAAATTCAAAACAATCTCGGCAAAAATGCCATTTTGAGGTAGCACTATTTAAACTAGTTGTGCAATGACTTGATCTAATTTTCTTTGTTCAAGAAAGAAAACCAGTCGCCAGACTATAAATTTCCTAAATAGATGCATTCTATTACAAAGTCACCAAGCTCGTTAGTGACTCTAAATAAATGTCATGAAAGCATGGATTTCATCCTTTATTTGACAAGAGATGTATGTAAGTTTGTTTAAATCAATATTATTTTAGTGACATTTTTATAAGCTTCCCACTTTCCATGAACCTATATTTTTTATTTATCCAAAGTTATTTCTCTTTGTCCATTTCTCTCAGCCTTATGCAAACAATATGCAAGAAATGCTGAAACTTGGATAAAACGGGTCATGCAGAGGGAAAATGAAAGCTGAGATGGATCATTTTCAAAAAAAAGAAAAGGTTGTTAGTAGTTTCAATAAGAAGAAAAAAATACTACTACTAAACTGTAACATAAGCAGACAATAAAAGAGGGATTTAAAATAAAATGGATTCATAAAACTATTAAGATTATTTTTGTTAAGTATAGTGTTTTTAGTAATTGGAAACATGATTTCACAATCAACCATGTTTTTGAGTTGGAGATTTCTAGCTGATGATTTTTGACTTTGTATTTTTGCATCGGCGATGCAATAGAAATCGTTACCTCCCCAGCCGCCGGCTCCGCTCCCTTCCTGAACGCTCTGAAGCACTTTTCTCTTTGCCATAAGTGTTGTGTCACGCTGCACTCGGGGTGTTCACGAACGGACGGCGCAGCCTGGCCGAGTCGGCGCTCTGCAAAAACAGGAACTTCGTGCTCCGTAGGTGGCTGGCGGGACGCTCTCCCTTCCCGTAGCGGGGTGCTCTCGACAGACAGCCCGCTACAACGACGCCAGGTAGAGTCCAGTGAAAATGACTTCCACTGCACAAACGCTTAACAGAACAACGCACGGGAATACGTGACTGTTGCCGGTTGCGTCCGGTCAGACGGAGGAGGCGCGGGGATCTGATCGAGCGTGGTCCCACCCTCCTGTATTCCTCCGCAACGCAGTAGCACAGGCTGTAGGACGTGCGAGTACACAGAATGATTGAGAAACTGGAGTCCTCATTTTTTTTATCCCTTGTACATTTCACATACATGAAAATTGAAAAAAAGAAAAAAAAAAAAGGTGAAATTTATGAGGAAAATCTAATTTCCCATTCCTGTTGAATGGATTTAGTTTGATATTGACCTGATTTTACCATGTGCCTGGTGAAGGCCTTAGAGTATATACTGTATGTTAAAGACTGTAATAACTTTAAAAAAAATTAGTTGATAGCCTGATGCAAATGTAAATATAGTTACGACACATTGTTAAAAAGGCATCAACGCGTTAATTCATGTCATCTATTTTCATTTCTTTACCATTAGTTTTTAAGGTTTTCATTATTGCTTTTTTTGATATCTTTAGTAACTAATGAATTTAATTTTGAAGGAGAGTTAGAGAAAGATTAAGATTTTTAATACATGTATTCAACCCATTTAGTTATATTCTAAACCAACACTGAAGCATGATAAGGTATAGAATACAGTCCATAACTAGTTTGTATAGTTTACAGTTTAAGAACAAAATTAACTTTGTATGTAACTCCTACAATGATAGATTCATTGTTAACTAATTATATTAAGTTGTTGTTGCTATGGCAACAAAACTACAACATGGCTACCTTTGTATACATTATTTGTGAAATTTTCACATGTAAATTAAAAGTGATGTGTAACAGTATGAGCTTGTTAAAGGTACAGTTCGATACTGTCAGATAAAGATATGATTGAATATTTTTAAAATCCCAAAGTCCCATGTGAAAGCTGAATTTGTGTCTTTATGTCACTTTTTCAGTCAAGAAGTTTACAACACATGGATTTAGAGTCAGGTTTTATAGCTTGTAGAAATTGTTGTGTGGCTAGGGTTATTCCACAGTATTTTAGCTTTTGAAACAAAACAGCCTGCATTTACAATATATTAACTGGT